TGTTACAAAATAAAGATAAAAGTAATTGAGCATATTTTTACTCTTTGGTTTGCAGGCGTGGCAATGGCAGATTCTGCACAGTAGAGTTCATGGCAAGTATTTGTCTAATATAAGCCAAGCAAGACACATACAAGCTTCAGGTAAATCAGTCTTTCTTAGTTGTGCTTCTTTGAAATAAAATATAAATATTTATTCTTCAACATTTTTCAAATACAGAAATTCAGACCTACTCAGAATTTTGTATACCGTTCAATTCTTATCTTTCAAAACTGGGACACCTCAAAATTATTTTCCTCCTGAAGCTAGCAGTAGGTGCTGGAAACAGCCATGTACACTGTGTCCTCCTTTGGCATTTTAGGTGTGGTAATACAGAATAGTGACTGCATTTGAGGATCTTGGTGGGAGACCTGCAGTAACATCTTTATTCTCTGCTTTTGAATCGATTCCCTTTTGTACAATCAGAAAAAAAGGTGTGTTAGTATCTTGAATTTTTAACCCAGAGCTATGCAAGCTGCGTCTGTCTAAACATTGCACAGGGGTGATTTCCCCATTGAGATTTTTTTATCTTGCCTTTAAAGATAGGTAAGTTCAAAGTATTAGTGTTTGAACCTTGTGGCTGAGATGGATGAGGTTGTTAAAGTTCAGCTAAAGTTCAGTTGCTTCTAGGGGTAGGCTTAGTGGTAAGCTGAAAATATTCTTTGTGTTCACTAAAACTCAATCTTTACCCAAAAGAAGACCAAACTGCGGTATGTGATAGGTCTTCCTGTGACATGTAGAGTCTCCATAAGGCAAAACATGAATGCATGCTTTTTGACCTTTGTTCAAAAAGTAAATGAAATGTTGCTTTAGTTTGTACCTCCTCTATTTGCAACTCCTGGTATATTTTGAGAGTCCCTTAATACCATAATCTGGTGAGAGATAGCAAACTAAAGTGTTTTGTTGGTGAGATTCTTTGGATTTTATTAACAGACAGATGTTTTTTGGAAATTTTTTTGTAAAGTTGTTTACAAGGTTTTCAGCTGAGATGCAACTGTAACAATGTGATGATACCCCTGACTCTGATTAAATACATTCTGTCACTAGTTTTCAAAATACCTTTTCACAAAGAAATAAGATTATTTCTTTGTACATGTTTGTCCATATTATACAAATGGAAACTCTTAGGACCAAAAAGTTGCTATTCAGCCACATAGTTAATAAAAGTTGTGTCTTCTAAGCCGCAGTCCCATGTTTTCAAGAGTAGATCATAGGATTGGTTTGTATTGTTCAAGTGTGTTTGATGCTTTCATTTTGGATTGTAAGATTTAATGACCAATCCTGGAGGTGTTTGGGCTGTAAATGCTGACTAGACATGGAACAGACATTGCAAATATGAACAAATCCAAATCTTGAGTATCTTATGATGTCCTGGTTAGAGTAACTTGAAGCATAGCTTTTTAGAAGTTTTCATGTCTTTTCATCTTTATCTGCAGTGGTCCCTAAATGTGCACCTCTTCTGTTCTTCATTCTGTTCTTCCTGTTATATCTGAAGTTGAAAAAAACTTGCATTCTTATAATAGAACATACTATCATGAGTAATTCAACTTGCTAACTGTATAGTTTGTCTGCTACCCTGTATACCCTTAAGTGCTTGTGCTGGCAGTGCTGAGAAAAACAGTATTTGACAGCTCTGTCTGCCAAAATAAATTGAGCAGGCACAGTGACTGAGCTGCGGCCTCCCATTGAACAAGTAGCTTCTGGTGCTGAGAGCTTTGGGTGGTGTAAAGATTGCAGTAGAAGGGCACTTCTCAGATAAAAAAGTTCCTTCTCTGAGGTTTTTATACCTTAGGAGTTTCCCCTTGCTATCTCTGTTGTGTGTTGCGTCATTGGTAAGGGCTGCTACAAAGTGACATTTCTGTGGGTTGTGGCCTGGGCTGTGATTGAAACTTCAGTGATTGAAACTTCCTCTGGTTTCTGTAGTACTGTCAGTTTGTAGTCCGTGTAGCGCGCTTGCTCCGTCGCTCTTTGATGCATCCTTATCTTCCTCCTGTACTTCTTCCAAAGAAATAGTTCTTTCTGTATTTTCAAGTTTTCATTATTGGTCACATGGGTTCCCAAAAGTATGTAAATCTGCAGTGAGCCCAGACTGAGCACTGATTTATATGAGAGACTGTTGACGCCAGGATGTATCTGAGGCTGGCCTGCGTGGTCTGTTTGATCTGTTGGCCTCTTTAATTGCCAATGGTAACCTTGACAATCCCATAAACATTAGTTCCTGGAAAGCACAATGAGAAATCAGAACTAACTGGTCTAGACAAAGTGCTGACTATGACAGTAATTTCATTGATCAGAATCCATTAAATGATCTGGTATTCCCTTAGATGGTCCCGGGTGCTGGTGAGACAAAAGTTTTACCACTTAGTAGAAAAACAATATAACTAGATTTATTGGGCTCATATCCATTGTCTAGTACTTAGTGGATAGAGCCACTTGTTTTCATTACTGGCTGCAGTTCTATTTATATTATATTGCATATCAAAAATTGCAACTGTTCATCAGCAGGAGTATATTTTGTCTCCTTTAGATCTGGCAGGGCCGTTAAATCTAAGCATGAAAGCTTTGTTTTTCTACATGGAGTACTCTGGTAGTGTCAGTAGTTCCTCCCAGCTTTGTGCAGTAGTTGAAAGTGACAAGTTTCAACTTTTTACTCAGCTGCAGCACCTTAGTCAGGGGACAACTTCAGGAAAATTTTTACAAAAGCTGTGGTGAGAGATCTGAATTTACCCCATTAATTGTTTTGCTGACCAGACTAAGCATGCTCATGCACCTATGAAAACAGTTGGCTCTCAGCATCAAATGCTGGCTGGGGAGAACCTGCTTTGGTACAAGAGTTTACTGCCCCATCAATTAATTACAGAAGTGACCATGCTGCACACATGACTAGCAGCACCCAGCTGTATGTATGTGTTTATATATGCCTTAGTCTGAGGGATCCAAGACCCAATTTTTCCTGAGAACAAACACAGTTGTCAGATTCTTTGGCCTTTGGGCCAGGTTTGTCTGATGTATAAACTTGGATAAATTATTCAGTGTATTTATGTTCTGCGTGCAATTAAATAAACCATACTAAAACAATTTGTGATTTAATAGCACTCTCCCAGGCTTTCTACAGGTGGTGGTCAGATTTGCTGCTTGTTTTTTGAAGTTTTTATTGTCTTGGATTTTGCCTTTGATTCAGTGAAGTGTATTTTCTGCCAAAGGTATCCAAGAGTTATGGGTTCCTCTGGGTATGTTAGCTGCACTTTTGGTTTCTTTGAAGTTTTTAAATAAATTCACTAGAGTGTTGCAGTTACATGTGCAAAGTGAAGATTTTCTTTTTAACATCAAAAAGTTGTTTTTATAGATATTCTTAAGCATTCACAAGATCAAGTAACTGTAGATTTCATTTTATCTGAAAGCTGATTATCTAAGGAATATAACTAAGCATATAAGCAAAAAAAATTATGTTACAGGTTGGTTTGAAGACATTAGAAGTTAGGTATGAAGAATGTCTGTTAGCAGGAATCTTAAGACCCTTTTTTTGGCCATAAACAGATATTTTGTAATTGAACTTCAGAAAAGCAGAGGAATCTGGCTGAAGTGGAAGAACTGTCTTAAAGTAACGCTTGCCTCAATCACAAATTGAAGCTTCATAGTCCAGAATGTTGTTGTGAAACAGAACAAAAATAAATATTTGAAGTGTTCTCTGAACAATAGTCAGTTTTGAGTAATATTCTAGGGAAAAAAAAATAATAATTTTGAAATTACACATTTCAGATAACTGCATTATGTTTGTCAGGATTCATAGTTTGGGTTTTGTTTTCAACAAATATTATAAGAAAATTTATTTTGTTTTTGTGTTTAGGATTCTTTTTTCCTTTAGAGGCTTTAGTACTTTATTAAATAAATTGAACAAGTAGAATTTAGAAGAATTGAAACTTCTCAAGAGATCTCCCTTTGAAACAGAGAGCATGAGTACGTGTGATAAATAACCAAGTATATTACATGGCAAGTTAGAAAAGGATGTGGCTCGCTTATTCTCACTTACTAAAAAAAAAATGTAGAACAAAGGTTAAGTAGGGGACTGCAAAGCAGTCAAAATGTTGGAGCTCAGATAGCCTTGTATAATTCTGCTTGCTGGTGGATGCAGTTTTTAGTTTGGTAACTATAAATAAGTAAATAGATTCGGATTTTCTGTAAAATACTGCTAGACTCACTTGAGTGTAGTTCTGCAAAATAACCCAGGAGGAGGCAGAGAAGAAATTATTTGAGGGGGGGAGAAAAAAGTCAAGAAACCTCACAAATAAAAAATCCCAAGTTTGTTTTTAAATACAGACTAGCTTGTGTTGAGAGTTTGTTACTGAGTTTGCAAAAAGAGAACTTTGAATCATGAAGTAGCATCCCCTATATATGAGATGCTAGTACAGAAAACCTGTGTGGTTCCTGGCTGATGATTTGCTTAAGATGTAGAAATAACATTTTTTTTTTCCTTGTGTTGTTCAATTCTGTGTTTCCTAATTCCGTACTTTTTGAGACCTTTCCATTTATGCAGTCATACATTAGAGTTCCCCTCTGCAGGTTCGTGCATCTGTTAGTGCTGCAGCTGTCAAAATAACATCATATAGCAGTTTAGGATTGTGGCTACTGCTGTTGGTAGCTGCTACTGTTGTGACAGCCGAAAGGCCAGATAGGTGGCATAAGTCCACTGAACATTGCTGGGAAACTCTAAGACTTCTGTTTTCAGCCATGTTGTGTTTGCAGTCCATTTTTGTGCACCCTTTCATTTACCCTGTCTATTTGAAATACGCAGCTTCAGTTTTGATGCTATTGAGGGTTGTTGCCACCTCATGATGACTTCTGTTATTAGAAATATGCTCACTTTCCCAGTCCTCAGTGCTTTACCAGGCGGAGTTCACATAATGCTCATTATTATCTGTTGTTAACTCTGGAACCCTCAATGTGTGGTTTTTTTTATCTTTTAGAGTGAAGACTGGAACGGCTGGACAGAGGTGCATAGCTGCAGGTATGAACCAGCTAAAGTTTGTATCCCTCAGTTGCATAGTAGAGCTTCCTTGTTAAGGTTTAGAGAGATGTTGTTTTTACATTCAGTGATGAAAGCAGTCATTTTCCACTGCAATGAGCAGTGCTCCCTGAACCTTAAACTCTGCAGTTTCCTGCCTTTGTACTGCCAAAGGGCGCCGGGAGTGTTAACAGTTCAGGGCTGTGAGTACTGAGTCAATAGATGTCTTTAACTCCATCTGTAATTTAATAATTTTAGAAACATAACTGCAAAGTAGAAATGCATGTCTTCATAGTAATTTCTTGACCAGAACAAATCTGCAGTATTCTGTAATACATGAAACCCTAAAGGTGAGTATTAGTAGAACAACTTCTTCTAGGCTGAGACAAATTTGATTACGTGCAGTAGAACAGGAACATAGTCCAATATGAAAATGCATGGAGTCTAATGTGAGGATCTTTTGGTGCGATTTTCTTCATGCTAGAAGTCCAGTAAGGGTGTAGTTTCATGTGACAGCTGAGACAATTGCCCCTTCTCAGTTTCCAGCTGAGAGTTTAGTGCTGTGTCCTTTGGTTATGTTTGGTTCTCATGGTAGCTTGCATTATAGATGGAGTCATCTTGACAACCCAGTAAAAAGCTCTTCTGTGATCAAGTTGTTTCTCTGGTTTAGGAAGTCGGAATGATTTACTGTGTGGTCAGAGGAGTACAAAAGAACGTATCAGTCTGTTTGTACTGTGCACCTCAAGAGTTTCAGTTAATTTCTGAGACAATTGACCTGTAACTACTATGTTAAGTAACACTATCAGTATCACCACAACCAAAGTTTGGCGATTTTTTCTTCTTCCAGTGAATTACCTCTGCTATGGCAGAAATATTTAAGGTGTGTTTTGGTCTGTAGACAACCACGGAGAATTGAGTTTTTATATTGTCTTGAGGAAAGAGTTGTTTTCTGCTATGGACAGACGTTTGCTACAGTTTTCATAAATATTGGGAAGGATTTGGTTATGTCTATATCAGAAAGAAAAACAAATTTTTCTTTAAAGTGCAGGATATCCTGTCTCTCCATATGTTACTCATCAGGGTAGAAAGCTCTAAAGTTGGTTTAAGAAATCCAGGAATACCTTCATTTTCAAGTGATTTTTTAGAGAATTGGTGATTGACCTCTGTGTTTGGAAGTACCACTTTGAGGACATTTGTCTTCAGGCATTGTGTGGGTTGCAAAACACTCAATTTCTTTTCTAATGAGTGGTGCTCTGCTCTTCCTGCTCCTTTACTGTCCATTAGGATGATACAGAAGACTGGAAAGAGAGAATACTGATCATTAAGTTTGTGGCTTTTTTCTGAAGAATTTGCATCTTTTGAGACAGACTAAACTGATTTGGCCTAGTTTTTCAAACTCATGGGATTCTCCAATTGCAAAACCCAGGTCCAGAATCAATATATTTGGATTACTTAAATAATAAAACAATCAGATTTTAAATAGCAAGATAATCACCCTGTTTCTCATTGATGAAAAGAAGACGCTTTGATTTGGTGCAAGATCCATGGTTTCTCATCTTAAGAGCAACGTAAAGTTGAATTCATCTGCCTGAATATGAATAAGAAAGGTGACCAAATGGAAGAGGATGGAGTCTTTTCTTGAACATCTAATAATGATATATAAAATTGTTTGTATACATTCTAGTATGAAATGTCTCATCATGGTTAACACTACACAGCTATATATCAGGATATACAGAGATATACATCAGAATAAAACTTATGGCATTCTGCTTCTGTTCTGATACAGAGAATAAAAATGAGGAGAAGTCAGCTTTGCTTTGAGATAAGGAGTCAATCCTACCTCTCTATTGACTTTTGTCATATACACATTTACCATGCTGAAACATGTCTGTGTTCAAATAAAATTTCTGCATATGAGATATGATCCCCTTCCAAAATGGAAGTCTTTGGCATGGAAATAAAAATGGGCATTAAAAGATTGTAGACTGTGATCTTAAGAGTCTTCTCCGACCTTAAAGATTCCGTGTCTAGAGTCTAGAGAGAGACTAGGCTCTTGACATGATGATGTCATGACAGAGTTCCACCATTAACCTAACACTGCCAATTCTGTCTCTGAACCTGTCCCTAAGCACCACATCTACACATTTTTCAAGTACCTCTAGGGACGGAGATTTTAACACTTCTCTGGGCAGCCTGTTCCAATGCTTGACAAGCCTTTCAGTAAAAAAATTCTTCCTAATATCCAACCTAAACTTCTGGTGTGACTTGAGGCTGTTTTTTCTGGTCTTGTTACTTGGGAGAAAAGTCTGACCCCCCACCTCAACACAACATCCTTTTAGTAGTTGTAAAGAGAATAAAGTCTCCCTTCATCCTCCTTTTCTCCAGGCTGAACAACCCCAGCTTATTCAAGTTCCCCCTGTGAGACTTGTGCTCTAGAGCCTTCCCCAGCTCCACTGCCCTTCTTGCTGTGCTCCAGCACTTCCATGTCCTTCTTGTAGTGAGGAGCCTAAAACTGGGCACAGCTCTTGAGGTGTGGCCTCACCAGGGCCAAGTACAGCTGGACAATCGCCGTCCTGGTCCTGCTGGCCACACTGTTGCTGATCCAGGCCAGGATGGCATTGGCCTTCTTGGCCACCTGGGCACTGCTGGCTCACGTTCAGCTGCTGTTGACGAGCCATCCTAGGTCCTACTCTGCTGGGCAGTTTTCCAGCCCACTTCCCCCAGCCTGTAGTGCTACATGGGGTTGTTGTGACCCAAGTGCAGGACCTGACACGTCACTTGTTGAGCTGCACACAGTTGGCCTCAGTCTGTGGATCCAGCCTACCCTGATCTCTCTGCGGAGCTTTCCTGTCCTCCGGCGATCAGCACTCCCACACAGCTTGGTGTTGCCTGCACACTTGCTGAGGATGCACTTGATCCCTTCACTCAGATCATTGATAAAGAGATTATAAACAGGACTGGCCCCAGTGTGGAGCTCTGGGGATCACTGGTGACCAACCATCAGCTGGACATAACTGCAGTCACCACCACTCTCTGGGCCCAGCACTCCAACCAGCTTTTACCTAGCAAAGAGTACACCCATTCACATCATGGAAAGTCACCCTATCCAGGAGGATGCTGCGGGAAACAGAATCAAAGGCTTTATTGGAGTTTAAGTAGACAACATCAAAAGCCTTTCCCTCATCCATTCAGCAGGTCACCTTGACATAGGAGATCAGGCTGGTCAAGCAGGACCTGCCTTTCAGAAACCCCTGCTGGCTGGGCCTGATCCCCTTCTTGCTCTGTGTGTGTTGTGTAATGGCACTCAGGATGATCAGCTCCATGACCTTCCCCATCCCAGAGGTCAGGCTCACAGGCCTGTGGTTCCCCAGTTCCTCCTTTCAACCCTTCAGATAAATGGAGTGTAACATTTGCTAACTTCCAGTCAACTGGGACCCTCCCAGTCAACTGAGAGCCCCTGTCCAGGCTACGTTTCAACTTTCTTTGGGTAACGTGCAACAAAAAGCTTTCCTTTGGATAAAATGAAATTAAAGAGTAATAGTGACACTTTTTGCAGTATAATATTAACAGTTTCTTGTTTATCAGTATCTGCTACTATTCATAAAAACAATTGGAGATTAAAGGACTTCTCAAAATGGCTTGTCCAGCTTTCTGATGGCCACAAAGAACAGTGAAACTTGAGACTTGTTGCTTCTAGTCCAAAAGGTCTCTTGAAGCTCAGAAGAAGAAAAAAAAGACTATCAGAAAAAATTTAAATGTGTTTAAGTGCTATTCTAAGACATTTCATTAAGACGAATAATAATTTGTAGTTTGTTCCTTTGAGTTAAGATAACATATTACATTTCTTAAGTTACTCTGGCCTGTTCTTACTTTAATGTTTTAGTTTACATTTGCACAAGATGTGTTGTTTGTCATAAACTTAAAAGCATTTTTTGATTCAGAGGTTTGCCTCCTACAGGTTAATATAAATAATATAAAAATATAACTATCTTTGTACATGGTATTGTCTTGGAATTGTATAGCTGGTTCTGTTGTTCCCCCTGGGTCCAGTATGCAACCACACAGCCTTCTCTGTGTAAATGTAGTTGCCTTGCCTGCTGTAATGCTTTATGGTATGTTTGGCTTGAGGACAAGCAGACTGTTGAGAGCTTTCCAAGAATGACCGGATTTCCAGGTCCGTACTAGAGGAATAACTTCTGGCTGTGTTTCAGTGTCAGAAGACTGTCCTAAAACATGTAGATGAGTCCTTAAAAATCTGGCGAATATTGTAGAGACTGCAAAATGTTTTTTTGAAATGTATCTTTTTGCCTAAGTACAGAGCTTCAGATTCATGTCATGCAGGAAAGGACAGAAAAATACAGGAATATCTGAAACCAGATTTTTAGGTACCGTGTTTGTATTGACAAGGTAAAAAAAGTTTAAACAAAGTTTTCTGTTCCATAGAATTGCTTGCAAGATTGTTTCTTGCACAAAAAGTTGGCCAGAAGTTTATCTTCAGCTATATCCATCTTAAAGAGAAAAAAATCCAAACCAAACTCAGAGGCAACATTTAGGAGAGAGAAAGAGGGCAAAGACACACTTAAGCGAAATCTGTACCTTGCCTTCAGCACAAGGTTGCTTGCAAACATTATATTCTTATTCTCTTGCAGTAAAGATTTCAGCACTGAAGTGCAAGTGTGATTTGCCCTCTGTATTTCTGTGTCTCGGGGTCTGAATTCAGTCAAAAAAAAAAAAAAAGAAATGGTGCCAGGTGAAAACTCAAACCTTGCTGCTGCCTAAAATGTTTCATCCTGTCCCCTGTCCTTCCACAGGGTAGAAATTTGTGTCCTCTCTTATACTCATTTCCTGCTTTGTCTCCTGTGTCATACAGCTGCCTTCATTTCCTCTTACTGTTGTTGTGACCAAGCCACTTTTCCTACTTTCTTAAGAAGTTTTTTCTGTTTGCAGTGCCTAAGTGTCTACAGGTCTTTCTGATCTCTCTTAGGTATTTAAGGTTTCCA